AACTATTTGTAATAGTGAAAGCTTTCAAACTCATAGAAATAAAATCTCATAAAAGAGGAAATAGTTTGAAAGAGACATGAATATTCTCTGATAGTCAAGCTGCTTTAAAAAGACTTAGAAATAGTCAGATTCATAATGATCAAATGAATCTTGAACTGATCATAAACTCTGTTTTGAAAATTCAAAGAAGAAGAATATCAAAGCTGATAATTCATCTGTACTGGGTTCCTGCTCATATGAATATTCATGGCAATGAATTGGCTGATTCAGCTGCAAAAAAGGGTGCAGAATTAAGCAGATCTATTCAAAAAATTGTGTCCTGATCTTTTATAAAGAGAAAAATAAAAGAATCTTGTTTAAACAAGTGGAATGAAAGCTGGCAGAAACAAAAGAAGAGTATACATTATTCAAGATTTGAAACAAAACTCAAGTGAAAATCTTGTTCAATTAAATGTAAAAAGAAAATATTCTCATCTATAATACAGCTGAAACTAGAACATGGCGATTTCAAATCTTATATACAAAGATTTGATGATAGATTTGACTCAATAGAATGCTCATTCTGCAATGCAAATGAGAATTCTGAGCATATTGTAATGCACTGTGCATTATACAACAGTCTCAGAGTCAGATTGAAAGAGAAGTATGATCTAAATCAATTAAATATGAGATTCTTATTCTCAACTGAGACAGGAATTAAATACTTAATAGACTTTCTATCAGAAACTCAAGCAGCTACAAGAAAATGGCTAAATTCAGAATTTTCTGAATATGAAGAGGAGGAAATCAATCAGATATAGTCTGTTAAAACAGCTATATACTATCTTTTAATAATTTGTTTTGTTACAGTCTCTCTTTACTTTATCTTTTCCTTTCAATTTCTTTCTATCTATCTATTTAATGTGTCTATCTTTAAGACTGTGTTCTTTTTCTCTTTTCCTTTGTCATGATATTGTCAAATGATTTCAAGTATCAGAAGATGTTAAAGCACTGCAATTTGTAAACAGTTTTTGTATTCTGGGCTAGAATTTTCTGATTTTGCATATCTGAAATTGATGAATGTATAATAGTTAACTTTACAGATATAGGAAAAACCCTGAGAACTAAAAGTTCTCAGGTAGATGTCATAGTCTCTGACTGCATACATCTATAATTGAAGAATAATAATAATAATAATAAGATATATCACTCTTACAGTGATTTATAAGTAATAAATAAGAGTCATCAGTTTCTTCAGAGTTAAGAGCTTAGAGTCTTACTCAATAAGCTTATTCTATATATCTTTATTCAGTCTCTTTATAAATATTATTATTCAGGTCTTATTTCAGAGCTCTGTTTTCACAGATCTTAATTTATATTATAAGTTTATAAAGTACTGTAAGTAGTCTTTATCAGATTTCTCATCTCTTTTTCTAATATTAATAATTACAGCTCAGATATTCTCTGTTCAGCTTGTAGAGTTTCTTAACTTATTCTCTAGATAGATCTTAAGAATAGATCAGTGAGATCTCTTATAATTATTCTCTAAATAATTCAGTCAGTTCTTGACTTCAGTATAGTAGAGATCTGTTATTATATAAATAATAGCTTCTTTATCTTTTATATCACATAGTCAGTCTTGTAAGTTAATTTTAAATGCAAACTTGTAAAAGCTTTTATAGATTGTGATTTAATAAGTAATCTTAAGTAATTATAGTATAAGAAAGTTTCTTTTCAGTTCATAGATATTTCTGAAGATTATGTCTAGAGACTCAGTTTAAGAGTGTTTACAGATAGTAAGCATTTCTTATAAAAAAATAGCTTGATTCTGTAGAAGATACTTAAGAATGTTCTTTACTAAAATTAATTTATTTCTCAGTTTGAAGAGTTTCTCTATTATAGATATAAAGCATAGTGTCTTATAAATGATTAATAAGTTCTCTGAAACTTCTTTTATAGAGATTATTCATGATTTAGATGACTGCTTCTGAGTATCTACAGTAGAGTTTATAGAGATTGAAGTATATAAGTTTCTAGTTCTTTCAGTTATAATAAGTGATTACTGACTGACTAAGCTTGAAATATAAGAATAAGTGCTTACAGATGATTATTTGAGTGTTTACAGCTTGATGTAATATATACTGTTAACTACTAGAAGTATTTATAGTAGAAAGATAAAATGTAGAAGTCAAATGTATAATAGTATTCAAGCTGAGTTATAAATAGTATTTATGAACTTCAGTCTATATAGTTGTGTGTAGTCAAGAGCGGCTAACTCTATTGATTATGCGAGAGATAGAAATAGAGGTAAAGAATTCGCGAGAAGCGGGATTTCTTACAGAAACTGATCTGAAAGAGATATGAGATTGATCACTGATCTGAAGATCAGATGTGATGATAAATCTGAAGAGAGTAAAGACACTGTTATAGACAGTGATACTTCTACTTCATTAGTCAGTAAAAAGCAATTAGAGAAGTTACAGAGACACTTATAAGAAGCTCAGCAGCAGTCAGACATTGTTTACAAAGATATTAAAATTGAAAAAATTTTTATTCTTGAGAAGTTCTTGAATTAATATATAAATATTATTAGAAACACTCTCTCTCTATTATCTGAATAAAAACACTTCATGAATGAATAAGAATATTTACAGTTTATAAGAATGAGAGCTGTTACAGTAAAAGAGAGAAGAAGATGAGATTGTACAAACAGATCTGAGATATTTATACTACTTTAAAGAGAGTTACTTACACTGTGAGTAATTCTGTGAAACAGTCAGATCACACTAATAAATAAAGAGTGATTATGAATTACAGATCTGAATCTTTTTATATAACTATAAAGAGTGATTACAGACTGTAGATATCTTAATTCTACAATTCTACAGAGTAAATAAAAGAATGAAAAATTCCTCACAATTCTACAGTGTCAAAGAACAATGATTTATAAGAATGAGTGAAAGATTAACTCATGAATACTTCTTTTTGATAGAATATCTTATAAAGAGTGATTCATCTGTGAAATAAATCTATGTGATAATCATACAAGAATCTCATGAAAACG